AGGAATGATCACACCCTTGCCGGCAGCCAAGCCAGTCGCCTTGATGACAACGTCATGTGATATGCGGTCGAGGTAGGCAACGGCCTCTTCGTAATTGGAGAAATTCTCGTAAGCCGCGGTCGGGATGTTGTGCCTCTTCATGAAGTCCTTAGAAAAGGTCTTGCTGCCCTCCATCTGGGCTGCCTCCTTGGAAGGTCCGAAGCAAGGAATGGCAGCGGCACGGAAGTAAGCCTCGACTCCATCCACGAGAGGGGCTTCAGGGCCAGGGACAACAAGACCGACTAGCTTGGACTGAGCGAATTTAACGAGAGTGGGATAGTCGTCGGCGGCGACATCGGTAACGTTGGTAACCTTGGGACAAGTCGCAGTGCCTCCGTTCCCGGGCACGGCGTAGATAGACTCGACCAGAGGCGACTGGCTCAATTTCCAAGCCAACGCATGTTCGCGTCCACCATTGCCGATAAGCAAAATACGCAGCTTGCCGTTGGAGGTCATCGTGACTACCAGTTGGATCTGCGACAAAGAATCTGGTCGCGAGGAGGGTAGGAAGTCCGTTGGTTGGGTGGTAGCTCGATGGAAGTGGCTATCCAGATGGAGTGCTCGAAGATAGAATGGGTTAGAAAGGGAAGAAAAACAAGTCTCTTTTTCTTGTTCCACCTCCACTGCCTGAAAGGAGGGGAAAGTTGAGATCCAACAAAAGAGAATAAATTCACTTGCGGCGCCGGCGCGAAGTATTTTGTTATCACAAAAAAAAGCCCCTCCAAATGAATGACCCTGGGGCGGGGTGACAGAAAAATGGAACTTCGGTGGGTTAGCGCGAAAATTTCAATTGGAGAATTCTCGTTACCCCACCTTCCTGTAATGGCGAGGGAAGTGCCGCTGAAGCCCTGTGTCCGCCCGCCCCCCTAGGCTGACTGACTGCCAGGATCCTACCTATGTACCTTGTCTGCACCCGCAACCTCGATGAAACCAACAGGCTGTACTCCATATGGTGCATTGGCCAGCACACTTCAATTAAAGAACCAGACGAGGCAGCACGACGTTCTCCAACTCATCAACACTCCCGCTACTTATGAACAGGGCATATTCATTATATGCGGCACTCAAAATCACGTCTCGACTGGCCACGTCCTCCAGCTGCAAGTCAATCTGTGATTGTTCTGGGCCAAGGACCTTTCTGTACCACTCCAGCGCCAGGTGGTGCAGCCCAAGCATGTGGAATGTTCTTCCGACCCCAAAGAAGGCCTCTCGTCTCTCGTCTGGCGTTCCCGTGAGCTTTGAATGACAAAACTCGAACACGCAGGCGAACCCCTGCATGATCAGGTATTGCCGGTTGTCTGCCTGGCGCTTGAGGGCATGGTGAATGTATCCGAGTCCGACGCTGAGGCTAATCATAGGGTTCAAAGGGTCTAGAGTTCGCGCCCTAAGGAAGTAATCTGTAATGTTGTCGGTCAGTCCATGCTTGCCAAGGCCCCGCCCCGCCAGACTGATTCCCACTTACTTAAAGCGAAGGTGTAGCTTGTCGATGTGAACAAGATATGTCCGTAGAGCATCAGTAGGCATATGTCAAGCTGCTTTGCCTCAGCAGGGCTAGTAGCCTCTCGATGGGTGACTTCACGATGCCTGTCTACCTGACTGATGGACAGATGCGAGGCATCGATCATCTTGATCTGCCGCAGAATATACTTCTGAGCTGGTCCGGAGTTGTACCAAGATGCAGGAGACTGGCACAACCTGCACAAGGCTGCGAACATACGGTAGGAATCAGAATCCAGCTGCCGGACCTTCATAAAAAACCTTGCCACAGCCACGCACATCTCCTCATCAGCCAGATATATGGCACACGCTGTCGATCCGTCAGCTATTCCGCCAACGAAATTTTACGTGTGACCAAGCTTACCTGCCCACGCCACGTGGATTAGGAACATGTAGTCTTTCGAGTTCACGAATACAATCGAGTCTCTCGCCGCCTCGCAAACCTGGTATGCCTCTTCGGCACGATTGGCCAATGCTAGACTAACTGCATAATCGAGGAACAGCTCGAGCCACTCGCGAAAAGGAATGCCACGGTAGCCATCATCCTCATACGCGACGTTGATCCTTCTGTCGTCCAAGATGGATGGGGCTATGTCTGTACGATTACTTGTCAGCACTGGTGATGTGTAGAGAAAGTGATCCTGATACCACGGGCAGATTCTTACTCTTCGAAAGCCTCTCAGCTAGTTCTGATAGGCCTGACTGCGTTCTAGAGGATGCACTGAAAACTACATCGTTGGCAGCACCGAGAAACTTGAGATATTTGTCCCAGGGATAGAACTTCCTGAAAGATCTGAAGTCGCCCACGAGTTCCCCAGCAGCGGCCATCCATTGCGGTATCAGTGAGTGGTCACCCGCCTGTATATCCCTCTTCAGGTTGCGGACGACTTCATATCGCCTAGTCAGCTCATCAGCTCGGGCACGTTCTTCCTGTAGACGCTGGTCCGGAGCAACAAGCTTCCTGGGTCGATATCTAGTTCGGACAACCCCGTTATTTGTGGGTCTGCGCCTCTGATCTCGCTTTCTTCGTGGTTTTATGGCGTCAGACAATGCTGAGGCGCGTCCTCGTGATCTGTTCACATCTCCACTAACATCTTCCAGCTGATTTCCGCCATCATTGATTCGGTCCAAAGCTGCGGCCTCGCTGAGAAGAATGAGTGCCTCCTCTTCTTCCTTGGCCTTTTCGTAGATCCTAGCCAGCTCGATGCGAGCGTCGATGTTGGTTTCATCTACTTGTATCGCCACCAAAAAACAGTCTTCCGCTGCTGCCAAGTCGGATCTGGCCAGATAGCAGCGGCCAAGCTGCAGAAGCAGTGTGGCATCTTGGCCATAGATGGAATGTCGCAGGAGTTCATAATAATCAAGTGCCTCCGAAATGCGCGGAACCATGTAAAGTTCGTCAGCAATGTCCCGGATGAGATAGGGGAAATCCTGAACGGCGGTGGCTGTTGCGGATTCCGTTGGGTCCAGCCAGCGAAGGTGGAGCTGAGGGCGTGTCAGTCAGCAAAGCAGCAGATGAATGACACGAGACGTACATTGGATTCTTGGTCATCTCGAATCTTGAGCCGGTATAATGCGAGACGGGCCCTGAATTCTAGGGGTAGGCCTAGACCATATGTGTACAGGTCGTAGGCAGATGGATCGAATACCGGAATCTGAAGACGACGAGTGTGTTCCCTGTCCCACTCTCTGTCATCAACGCATTCGTCCCATAGTCCTTCATTGCGTCGCCCGAGCATCCATCGAGATAACGATTTGAGTTGCAATATGGCGTTCGCGTAGTCGCCAGCGCAGGCAAAGAGCTCTACAAAGATGCCGACATCGTGCCACGAAAGTTCGTCTCCGGCACCACGGTCTTCCGCATGCGCATGAGTGAAGTATGTTTGGTAGGCGACGACAGCTCTTTCTACGTCTTCGGCGGCCCCCAGATCAGCGCAAGCTTCGGCTAGCCTTCTCACAATGCCAATGTCGAAAGGTCGACGCTCAAGGACATAGGAGAATTCGGCAATTGCTTGCGATAGAAAGCCCTGGGCTTGACTTGCCTCGGCCCTGCCCAGTCTGGCATCGAGATTGGTAGGTTGTGCTTTAACAGCCGAAGAGTAGCACATCAGTGCGGTCTTGAGAGCTCCATCCTGACCTTCTTCGGCTAGACTCATGGCAAAGGATGCGCAGCTCATCCAGCCTGGACCATCCTTGGGACGCAGATGCGCAGCAATAACCATGGCCATCAGAGCTTTATCGCTGTGTCCTTCCTCGCGGAATATGGAAGCCAAGACGGTCCAGGCTTGATGTGTTTCGGCATTAATCCTGATGATCTCAAAGACAAGATTCCTCGCTCGGTCATACTCGCCACTCATGAAAGCTTGGTTGACTCTGGCAAGACGAAACTTGATATCGCCTCGGGGTTCCGCAGCTTGTCGGGGACCCCGAATAGTAGAACGCGTCGCAGCCTTTGATCTCATAGTTGCTCGGGGTCTTCTGAGTTCGTGCTCATCCTCATCGTCGACCGTAACCGTTCCTTGATGGGAGGACAGGAACTCTCGAACTGACTGGTCAAACTTGGCTATGTCTCCACGTAGTTCCATCTCGTCCGAGTCGGCATCGGACACGATGTCTTCATCCCCATCATTGGGTCCAGTTGCGTCTCTCAAGCCGTAAGGCTCGAGAACGCCCGGAGCCCGCTCCATAGCAGTGCCTCGGAGCTGTCCAGCGAATATGGCTTCCTTGTCGAAACTTCAACGCAGAAACGTCGGCAGAGTCCAAAATGTGTTGTTCATAACCCGGCACTCACAAGCATCCGAACGCATATATGGTGTTGTTCGTTGGAAAATATGGTAAAGGATACCGGGAGGCGTGGGGTCCAGGTTCAGGTTCTACCTGAGTAGGTAGTCAGTCAGTTGAGTCCTGCCTGCCTTTCAGAGGTAAGGTGCGCCTCACCCATGGGTGCCCGGGCCCCACTCTTTCTTTGCGCATGGGCCCCTCTACCTACATTGTACTACCTACCTAATCATATGGCGATGGCGCTCATTATCTCATGCAGGCACGTCGCATGGTGCATGAGCTTAGGAAGCTCTTGTCACAAACATCTGTGCAACGATCATCTGTACCGTCGTTTGGTATTTTTCACTTGTCCACGCATCGGATCACACCCGAGATTAAAAGCAATCGCCAGTAGTTGGCAGTGGCGCTGACAGGACCTTAACCTAGAGCGTCTCTCCGCGTACCGCCAAGACTGGTGTGCTATCTTGTGTATATATACGTACAGAATCGCAATGGGTGCTAAACCAAACCTTCCAAACCGCCTTCACCTCTCCTTCCCACTGTCCCAGCTAAGGCACAGACTGGTGCTGCCGGCCCCGTTATTTGCTGTTGTTGTTTATAACCAACAACAATCCTAGGTCCTTGTGCATTCTCAATCCCCGGAAACGGGCATTCGTGTGTACCGATGATCAAAACCTGACTTGTTAACCAAGCTTGCCGTCTGCCTTGGCGTCTATTTGCAACGTCAGTTTTGAAATCGTGGGTATCAATTTATCCAATACTCACCCTTCACCTGCTCGAACACCTTGAGCATCTTCCTTCTAGCTCCAAGAGCATTGACACCACGGTCCTCCAAAGCCTTGTCGTCCAGCTCGATCAGCTCGTGCCACTTCATGTCCTTGAGGTTTTCGGTGTATTTATGCAGACGAAGACTTCGGAGCCAGCTAGGAATGTCTTGCAAAAGAGTAGGGTCTGTGGGATCTTCAGGAGGCTTCGAACTGCCGCGTCGTCCTCTAGGAGATCGACCGCGCACCATATCGGAGTGGTCAGACAGATATCCCTCGTGACCTCCAACACCCAGCTGCCCCACGTTCACCTGAGGAATGCCATTATTGAGAAGGGGCGAGGATCCATCGTAGGCGCTGAGGAAACCGTTATTCTGAGGAGAGGCGAACGCCATTGGCCCACCAAAGCCTGGCTGCATCGCGATGCCGGGAGAACTAGGGCGAGACCGATGCTGACCAAAACCAATGTTCTGTGCCTGCAGGGCTAGCATCTGCTCGCGGGTAAGCACTTGACCATGCTCATTGATCATGACGACGTTGGCACCCGGAACATTGACACCTTGTGCGTTCGGGGGCATTCCTTGAGGGGCGCCGCCAGGGGCATCGTTCGAGCGAGCACGTCTGTATTTGCGTACGTCGTCCAAAGCGAAGCGATTGTTGACCGTCGAAAGGGCCGCGAGCTTCATGGCGGTTGCATTCGCAACCATATCTGCCTGAGTGCCACTTTGCTGGGCACTGAAGTTGGCGACAAGGGGGGTGTTGACCATCGACGCCCAGTTTCCGCCACTGGGATTGTAAGGGGACAAGAGGGGAAGATCCGCCGGCTTGTCACTGGTAGTCAAAGTGGTATTCTGGATGTTCTGGTTGCCTGAGATCTGCGGGCGAGGGGAACGTAAGCCGCTTGAAGGTGGCGCTTGAAATTGACCCATCGGGGGTTGACCGCCAGATGGCTTGGCTCCCTGTGCAGCTTGATCAGTCCCAGTCCATGGAGAGCCTTGGCTCTGTCCGTTCGAGTCGTGACCGTCGCCTGGAGCAGAGATGGTTGGGGCTGCAACTGCGCTGTTGCGGTTTGACGAGGGAGGTGCGCCAGTCTGCTGTGTGAACTTTGCCTTTTCAGTTGCGATGGCTGCGGCAGCATCGGGGAACATGGCATTGATGGTTGAGGGGTCGAGACCCGATTGGCGTTTGCCAGTAGCAGTGCTTGAGGGACGGACCATGGAGTTCCTAGCAGAGTCGACGTTCAACTTATTCATGGCATCGCTAAGGCGGTTGGTCATGGGATCTTTGGCGGCGGAAAGTCAACAGGCTGCCGATAACGAATGAAGGGAGTTTGGGTAGAAAAACTTGCCTTTATCGAAGTTGGCAGGAGATAAGACACCGGACATTGGATGGTTCTTACCCATCTGTTGGAGGACCTGGATGAAGAACCGAATCTGTACCTGAGTAGTCTGTTGCAGAAGAGCATAGAGAGCAGCGGTGCGCTCGGCTTCGCTCAGAACCCTGAACCACTGCTCAATAGCACTCAACTCGTCCTTGAAATCCTGGTCAAGTGTTGCCGCCGCCATTTCCTCCAATGTAGTTTCATACTGGTCGATGTCGGCTATCCATTGCTGCGCAATTTTATCCTGGGGGTCTGTTTCGTGGTTGCCGTGGCCCTGGCCCTGCTGAGACTGGCCATAGAAGTCGGAGGATGGTCGAATGCGACTCGAGGGTGACGAGTTTTGAAGGGCAGCCATGTCTGCCGAAGCCCTCAAGTGGCTATTGGCAGGGACAGCCCTCGACGAAGGGGGTCGAAGAGAAGACGTCGTGTTTGCCTCGGGAGTACTGTTGCGGTTTCCCGCATTATGACTGCCAGACATGTTGAGCATGGTCGACAGACTGCGGAAAATAGGGGAGGGTGAAGTCGCGCAGTGGCGGCGAAGAGGTTGATGTCAAATGACGGCGGAAAAGTTGGCAGGTGGCAGATGAAACGATACCGGTGGCTACGGTGAAGGGTGTCGTGTCTTTGTCTAGCGATGGAAGGGGGGTCGGCCCGGGAAAGGAGGGACCAGCGCTGTTTCGAGATTTCGAATGGTCCCAAGATCCAATCAACTCAATTCCAGTGAACGAATGCCGTTGGTGCCACTCCAGAGGAAAACTAGGAGATCGGCTTGCGAGGTGCAAAACCCGAACAAGCGAATTGGGCAGCTAAGCAGGCCGACAAATCTTCCGAGAGTCGTTCAATTGAAGTTCAGGGGAGCCAAGCGGCCTGTTCTTTTGTTCCCGTTTGGCAAAATTCCGAGGGTGCGGGAGGAAAAAGAGAAAATCGTATGGTACGTATTTGGTACCCAAAGCTCCTGCAGAAACCTGCCTGACCTCAAAGGAGTCGGGATTGAATGAGGAACCTGCTTAACACATGTCTTGTCGGCAAAGGAGGGCTTTGGTTGAGAGAGCCCAGGATAGTGATTTCCTGAGGGTTGCCTGGTGGGCGAAATGGCGGGATGCTGGAGTAGTGCTGTTTTGAGTCGTGCCAAATACGGCGGGAAGGAAAGGCAAGCGGCGTCGCGCGTGCTTTGTTCTGTCGACAGCGAGTCCGGACGAGGACAGCGGCAGCGCCGTACAATGGTACAATGGCGACTCGCTCTCTTAGAGATGTGAGGGTGTGAATGATAGTGATGTGGGGGAGAGGAGCGGGCAAGATGGTCAGAAAATCAATGCTCTAGCGAGCGAGCGATATTATTCAAGAGGTGCTGCTTCCAGGCAGGTAATACGATATTCAAGGCTGGCGTCGTCTGAAGGTATTACCCGATTGAAGGGGTTGAGGAAGGAAAAAAGGGTGAATTGCTTTCTTTGGGTTTGAGGAGACGTACTCATGTGCCTGGGGTCCGTTCAGCAACGTGGCGTGGCTTCTGCTTAGTCATGATGCCTCAACATCGGGAAGTCCGCCGCAAAGCACCACCCACGTATCTTTTTTTGTTCTCTATTCCCTGTCGTCTACTGTATGCAGTACAAATACGGACCAGATAGGCAACTCTCCGTGAAAGGCCTTTCTCGTTCCAGGTCAAGTTGCCGACTGACTGATAGGGCGAACATCCCGTAATTGTAGTGCCTGACTGGTTCGTTTCACATTACCTGGACTTTATAGCGACCTACTAGTGACGCACGATAGAAGCAAACAGCGTGCCTTTGTTGTTTCTGAGTTGCAGTTTCCAGTACTTGGGTGGGTTAGGGAGGGAGACTGGAGACGAGGCTTCTCTTTTGTGGTTCCCGAATCCTTCTCTTTCGTGATTCGGGGTGCGAACTCGGATTCGGCCGCTGAACCAAGTGGAGGAATCAGCCATCGGACTAGCCCAAAAGAATGGCATCGGTGACGGGGGCACCATCGAGAGCACTCAGAAAAGGGCAGAATCTTCATTCTCTTGAAGAGGTCATTGTTCCGCAACGCCAACGGATCCTTAACCACCAGAAATTCTGCCCCTTACACTAAGTTTTGCCGTCGTGTGCATTTGGTTTTTACATCGTGCGAATTGCGTATATGCTGCGAGCCAAGTTGACTTATATCCGATTCGAATTCCGTGTAATCTACAAATGCAAGAAGCGTGGGTAGTAGGCACGTCGTAGGATCTCGCAACTTCACGACAGCGTAGTCTGTCCTTCACTCGTGCATGTCCGATGTGTATTTTCTCGAGTAGAGTTAGTCAACCAGCAGTATGGGGAGCGCGGGGTTCCCGTCCGAAGCACAGTTGAGCTGGATATTCGCGCTGACTCTCTTGAACCACTTGGTAAAATACTGGACAGAAAAGATGCACAGGTAAAAGGTTCAAAGGTCGAGGTTGAATCGTGGTTGATTGATTCATTTGCTGGCTTGAATTTTCGCCAGTTCCATTTAATTCCCTATGCCCCGTTGCATCGTAGCCATGCTGTAGAAGAGACCAATACCCATGAACCCAGCGCTACCCGTTTATGCCGTCTCGCGCTTGCCCTCCTTAAGCTCCTTCTGTCGAAGACGTTAGTACTTGCTTTCACGATTCCGAGATGGGTCGAATCGTAAAGGGGAGGCGTACCAGGGCCTTCATGGTGCCGTGCAGAGCATGACGATGGTTGCGGCGGAACTTGGGATCGGTGCCCTTCAGCGACGGGTATCTCGAGGTCTTGGGCTTCTTGATGCTAAAGGCAGAGAATAACTCGTTAATATCCAGAATGTTCTCCTGACTGCGTCGGGTGCAGAGGTTCAATCATACCCGTTGCGGTGCGCCTTGCGCGACTGGTTATGCTGCGAGGAGTTCTTGGACTCTGCGATCAAAACATTAGCAAAACTGTTGGTTGGGCAATTGGTGCAAGAACAATAGGGTCACTACTTACTGGCCATTGCTGCGGTCGTACGGTGCCCCTGACGTGATGGAGAGATCTGGAGTGTCGTCCGTGGAAGTTTGGGTAGCCGGAAAAGGTGCCTTTGGGATTGTGGGCAAAAACAGCAGCCCTAATTTTGTGGCAGTACGTACCCGCAAGTGGGGCATCGATACATACATACCTACCTATTAAGGTACCTTACCTTACTATGTACCTTACCTAAGGTAGGCAGTTACCTCACGGCCTGAGCATGGACCTACCGTGTCCCACCGCCGAGCACTTGCGACATGTCGTTATGAATTTAACCAGAGAGAGGCAAGTTGCACAATTGTAAGTCTATCGTTTTGGCATATGCAAGTCCTCCTAATACGCCACCACTTGCACCGGCGACAGCCAGAAACAACCACAGAACAGATTAAAAAAAAAAAAAAAAGACAACCACAACGCGAAGATAAAAGAAAACTCCCAGTTGCACTGTATGAAATCAGAACTGCCACTCTTGTGTTGTTGTTGCCTCTAGACAATGCCAAGTGCTGCTCATCCACCTCCAGTTCTACAAGCTCAGCGGTACGAAGCATCTATATCTTCAGCGGCCGCTTCTGCCGCCTGTCTAATGATACTGACCATGCCTCACTTTGCAATGAGTGGCTTTATCGATGAAACATTACCAGCCGCTGCAGCAGTCTGCGCAATCTTCTGCAGCTGCTTGGCTCGCAGGTTCTTGAGATAACGGAAGAAAAGAACAAATAAGAGTTCCATGCTGTCTTATATTAGCTTTGTCTAGGCTGTATTGGATGCTTGCATACCGCTCCTTGGTCATCATGAGGATGCCTTGCACGAGGAAGCCCTTGAGGATTTGAGGGCCAATGCCCTTGAAAAGACCCAGGACACCTTCGCGCTCGACAATGAATTTCATCACCTCCACAAAACTACCGAAAGGCTTGCCGTTTCTCTCGGGAGGGGGCCTTGACTGCAGACCAACTTTGGCAACAATCAAAGGTTGCGTGGTGATGGTGGCCAGCGCTTTCGACGCGGCTCCCAAAACTAAAGATACCGAGTCAGCTTGGGTCTGGCAGGGGAGATGCACACGAGGTGCAGCTGTAATCAATTGAATGGGCAACATACGGAAGGCTTCCCATGGTTTCAAGTTGGTTTTGCCCGGGAAGAAGGATTCCTTGAGTCTCTCGTAGGCACCGTACGTAATAGCAGGGTTGACGACCAGTACCAAACTCGCCTTCAACCCCCTCCACAGTCCAAATACGCCATCTTCTCCCTCTACGACTTCCCGAGCCGTATCGACAAAGCCCTTGCGTTCGGTCTTGCGCTGGGTCTGCTGGCGAGTGGTAATAACAGCAACAGGTATTGTGCAAAGCTGGGCGACGGCGCCAGCAACCGCGCCGAGACTCAGCTCAACCAATGTTGAAGGTGGTGCAGATGTCTTGGCAGAGCGCAGGTAGAGTGTGCGGACAACAGAATACCAGTAAAAGTAGGCAAAGTTTGTCGAAGCGACACCGAGAAGGGAGCCAGCCATGCCCGAGTAAAGGCCCTTAACACCGTCATCCGTAACGATCTTGCTGAGAGCGTCCCAAGTAGAAGAGTAATGCGGCTCAGTGGGCTCGTTCGACTCGGACTTGGTTGTGGTTGATTGCGACTTGACCTGGACCTGCAGGCGCGTCTTGACGCTGATTGGGGAAAACACGGTCAGCTAGGATAGGACATGACAGACAATTGAACGATCGAACCGATAGCAATTTGGGTCAGGCATGGCGACGGCTGTGTTGGATTGCACGAAGGTATCGTGAAAAGAGATGCAACAAGGTGGGAGAGGAGGCTTGCTCACATGTCAAGAGGATACACCAACGTATTGGCTAATACGGCACCGGTGGCGCCAGCGACAGCTTTGCCCCATGGTGATAGATTCGCCGGCTTGGATTGAGCACTCATGGCTGTCTTTTACCTCCAAAAGCGGAAGGACGGTACGCTGGCAGGCAGGCGGCCGAGTTTGTCGCGACAGGCACCTCAGGGGGACGAACAGTAGGGCCGCGGCAAGGGCCTGAGGTCGTCGGCGTCGGCGTCGGCGATTCGCCCCGGTCGGGATCCGAGGCAGAGCAGGCGGACGAGGCTAGAACAGCGGGCGATGAAGAAATACAGATATTTCCCGCGAAGTTAGTAAAGGGTGAATTGACAACAACGACGACGACGACGACAAATCGCAACTAAAGCTCACTGAGGGCCTACGGTCAAGCTGAGGGCCGCTGGTCGAGACGAAGGGTCCAGGCCAAACTTTAAGGGCGACAAGCGTGCGCAACGGCTCCCCATGACCACGGGAGTAGATAGAGATACATGGGTGGCTATGACGAGCTGCTGGGCCGGGGAGGTGTGTCGACTTGCGCCGACGACCTCGGCCCTTTGAGACTGGAGCCGGCGGACCAGCCAAGCTGTGTTCGGCTAATCGGTGAGGTCACTTGGGGGGGAAGGCTTCGGTAAATTACTTAAGCATGGATGCAATGTGGACTGATTCGGAATCTACGCCTACCTAGGTTCCTAGGTTATGTACCTTAAGGAGCCTCGTGGCATGGAGGACATGGACCGTCGGTGAGACAAGAGAGACGGCTGGCTCATGGGACGAGACCACAGATGAATGAGATGCAGCCCCAGTCGCCGGTAAATCCCACTCGTTCAGCACTTAGAGGTCTGTCTCGACGAGTCTGACTTCTTTCTACCTAAGACAAGGTAAGTAAGTCAGTGGCTGCAGTACAGCTACGCACGCACGGCAGAGATACGCCTTACGCAAAGGTGTCTGTCGGAAAAAAAAGATGTGCACAGTGACCAGCCAGCAAGCGATTCCGGGCAGGCGGTGCGCCGCGTCGAATTATTTCAATTCTCTCACTCATCTATGCATGCTTCGAAATTAGCAGCCAAGGTAACATGATTGAATCACTCTGCTCAACCCACTACGGCCTTCATCATCACTGCTGTACTTGCTGCTGCCCTGTGTCGGGTCGGGCTGTTGGTTTTGCTTTGCACAGCCTCCATCCGGCGCCCGTTCCGCTAAGTCCGTCTCATCCCACCAACCCAATAACGGGGCCTTCCCTCACATACGTAGATTCCTGTTACCAACCACGCGCCTACGTCCTCAGGAAACCCCTCCCCCGCGCAGGTCCTTGCCATCCGTAAGGTGTCGGTCGTGCCCTGATCTCTCTCCCCTCGAATCAGGATCAGATCGACAGCTAAGCGCAGAGCAAGAGCAGCTTAACCTTATGTTCGAGCTGGAACCACAGTCTCATGTCATGTGTCTGCAATAACCTCGCTGCTGGCTGGTTGATGCTTAATTGCTTGCCTCTTCGCTCCAGGATCTTGCAAGCCTTACGACCTGCCTCATTGAACCTGCTTCCTCCCGCACATCGGCGAGCTTGGCCATGCTGCCTGCCCAGTTGGGACTATGGAAGCAAGAGCTCTTGTGAGTGAAACATATTGAAGTTGTCCCACACCGACATCGTTGTCTCGAAAACACGATCTGCTGACCAAATACGGCCCGCGGTTTAGAGAGAAGAGGCCCTTATGGCCAGATCGACAGGCCGCGAAGCGCTGAACCACGCTATTGCTGCTGCCGATTTGTACATGAAGGCTGCAAAGGAGACAACTTCGCAGGCTGACCGCGGCCGCTTCAGGAAAAGCTGTGAGAGGCTCATCGCCCATGCTGAGAAACTAAAATACAGCCCGGTCGCTACAGCTTCTGACAGCCTGAGCGGGACCGGCTCTTCCTTGGCTGGTAGTTCTCGCTGCCAGGTGCGTCAGATTCCTACTGGGGAGCGTACAATCCTCCTTCGATCATCTCGTCTGCATGGCAACATTTTCCCTCCGTGGCAGACCGACCCTGCCGACGACGTGTTCAGCCCATCTCAGGGTATTCAAATCTTCACGTGAGTGCCATAGACCTTGAAGCCAGTCTAGTCACGTCCATGACCGACTTGCGTCGTTTGATAGCCGGCTGCGTCACTCACACCCAGAACCCAGAGACCCTGCCGACTTTACCATGTCAGCACGTCAAGAGGCTATTCTTGATGGTTGGAAACGACCGGTCGAAAAAGCAATGTCAGGCTCCGTAGATGATAATTTCATGGGCACCAAAGGTGAATGCGACCTAGTGCAGGATATTACGACCGATTGCTCTGTGGTAGCTAGCTTGTGTGCTGCCATGCGAATTCTCCTCGGCAAGAAACACTCTGTGGGTACCATCTCGTATCAGCGCAAATTAACTTGCTAATCGTGACTGGCCATATAGATACTCGGTTCCATCATGTTTCCATTCGATCATGACATGGGTAGACCGAGAATCTCGAGCAACGGAAAGTACATTTTTCGGATGCACTTCAACGGCTGTTTCCGCCAAGTCGTGGTTGACGACCGGCTTCCGGTCTCGCGGAATAATCGTACCCTATTCGTCGTGGACCGTCTGAACCCGAATCTTTTATGGCCAGCTCTGATGGAAAAGGCCTACCTCAAAGTACGCGGAGGTTATGACTTTCCCGGTAGTAACTCTGGCACGGACTTGTGGGTTCTCACAGGTTGGATCCCTGAGCAGCTTTTTCTGCAGAGGTGCGTAAGAACTCTATCAAGACCGTGGTACGGTCAGTTGCAGCTGGTGAGGATAGCTGACGAGGCGACCTAGTGAGGACGTTGACCTCGAAGGCAAGTGGGAAGAAATCAAGGAAGAGTACCATGCCAGCAACCTTATTATCACGCTTGGTACCGGCCGCTTGACTCCTTCTGAGGAGGATGCTCTCGGTCTCGTAGGCGAGCATGATTACGCCGTGCTCGACATTGACAATTCACCATCAGCCCGTCGTCTTCTGGTCAAGAACCCTTGGTGTGACGGGCTCGTATGGAAAGGAGTGGGTTCTTCTGGGCTGGCCGAGGCAACGGCGAGCCTGTCACTGTCCAAGGCACATATATCCGTTGAAACTCAATCGCCGGAACACTCCCGCCCTGTGGGCTCTTTTTGGATATCCGTCGACGACGTCGCCCAGAACTTCGAGTCCATGTACCTGAACTGGAATCCGGACATGTTCACGCATCGACAGGACCATCATTTCACATGGCGCGTTCCGTCACAGAACATGACATCCTCATTAGCCTACAATCCGCAGTACTCTGTGAGATCTCGAACTAATGAGACAGTGTGGATTCTACTGAGTAGACACTTCGCAGATGAGGAGCTGGAAATTGCCCGAAAGCGATCTGCTTCACTAGCTGCCGTATCTAGGCAGTTGGGTTTCACCAGCATCTTCATATTCGAGAATCAGGGCAATAAGGTCCAAGTCAGAGAGGGCTATGCGTATCAGGGGCCTTACGTTGACTCGCCGCAGACGCTGGCCAAATTCCAGCTCCGCGCTGGTAAGCCGTACACCATTGTCATGGCCCACCAAGACCTGCCACTGGAAAATTACACCTGCACTTTTACATTATTCTCCAGAGCCTCGTTGGAGGTGAAGCCTGCCGAAGAGGAAATGAGCTACTACAGGGAACTGTCGAGCGCATGGACTAGGAGGACTGCGGGGGGCAATGCGTCTTCAATAACGTACTCGCAAAATCCCCAGTTCAGTATATTCATTCCTCGAGCAACGCCACTGTCAATTCTCCTCTCGTCGGCAGATCGGGAGGTGGCTATCCATGTCGACCTAGTCTGGGCACACGGGAAGAGGGTCACTTCCATCGGCGTCAAGGACGTCGTCGCTAGCTCGGGTGACTACCGAAGAGGGAACGCCCTCGTACAGGTCCCAATAGTAGACCCGGGCACCTATACAATCGTCTGCTCGACCTGGGAACCAGGCCAGCTCGCTGACTTTGGGATGCGTGTGGGATCACACGCTGAATGTCAGGTTCAACCCATCCTGAATGATGGAGCGGGCCTACTGCGCATTCGAACGCCGACCTTCGTCTTCGGTGAAGGGGAGGAGCAAAGGAGAGCGCTGGTGACAGTATCAAGACTTACCAGAGCGCAGGTTGTCGTACGCTGTCCTATATTGACGGGACGCCACAGTCAGCACATACCAACGACTGCTGTTCGCGTATCTCTCGTATACGGGCGTGGTCCTCAAGAATCGGTCCTCACGGTGTCCGGAGGCGGCGAGTTTCGGGAGCTCACCATGGCGGTACGGACACCCGAGTTTGACATTGAGCCAGACCGGCTCCTGCATGATCAACTGTGGATTGTGATCGAACAGCTTGGGAGTCGCCAGGGTTTCCACAACATTGAGGTTGAGTTCCTTAGTGAGAATGTAGTCCAAGTCGGTAACTGGCAAGTCGTGGACGGCCTAAATTGAGAACTTCTTCTATCCACCAGGAGAAACAAGCATCACGGTTTGTGAGAGAGCTATATGTACTAGCCATGAACCTTGTACATGATGCCATGTGTATTGTGTGTGTGTTCGGCCACGTTCCGACCACATGCGCCCATCCCGGAGGGAAGAAGAGAGATGGATGCTACAATATGTGGTAGTCTGAAATCGGAACTTGGAGGATGTCATGGTGCTTGTAATGGTTACTTTTGTGACGATCCCCAAGGATGCTTTCGCAAGAGAGTCTGGGGCCCGGCGTGAGGTAGAAAACTAGAATGACGAAACTAAAACCAAGAAACAAGGCAGAACGTGACGCGACGCGAACGACTCGTCAATGTGGTATATAGTCCACCGCAACGCCAGAAACCCTTTGGATCAAGACAGAACAATTCCCGTCGTGAACTCGTGCCGTGCCAACTTAATGGGCCTCATGATCCGTACCAAGAATGCCTCCCTCTTCGCAAATGAACAACGAAACGCGATAAAACTGGCCAAAAACAAAAACCCCAATCGCAAATTCTGCATCGTAGCCCGCAGCTCCGTGGGCTACAACGAAAGCCCCTATTTACAATCAACCCGGTCATGGGCCCAAAGCCTGATCTCGTCTGGCTCGATATGTCGAAATTGGAGCATCAGAAACCTAGTGGGAGGAAGGAAAGAAAAAGTATTTACGTGAAGTATGAATCAGGCTCTGTCCTAGTATGTTAAGCAGGCCCTCCTCTGCGCCGTCTGCCGCGGTTGGGCCCATCTGGCCGCTGGGAAAGGACCTCCCGTAACAGTGGGTCATCCTTGTCTTTGTCCACGTGATGGACTCTGACATGTCTTTAGAACATGGTTAGACAAATGAACCTGTAAGACGAAGGGAGAAGACCGAAGCGCTGCGTTACAGGGTTATCATACCTTTGCAAATTGTCTGGTCTCGGGTATTTATGCTCTCGATCCGGACAGAATGGACATACATATCCTGGAGAGTCGTGTACAAGCCCATGTCGAATCATCTCATTCTTTCGCTTGAAGCCTTTCCCGCCCTCACTGCGAGGACAACCCTTGACGGAACAGTAGTGCGGTCGGGCAGAGGAGTGGACGTTGGCATGAGAGTTCAGAAGGTACTGAGTCTGGAACGGCGCAGCGTTACATCCAGTGAACGTACATACGTATCCCGCCGGAGGATTCGTGAGACCGTCGATGCTCATACGATCTGCTACTGAATTGGCTGGTGTTGATGCGGTTTGGTCGGTACTAGGGGTTTCGGCTGTGCCGCTACTGTAATCGGCGCTTGGCCTATGCGGCCCACCACCACTTGACGAGGAATAGTAGTACGGGCTTACAACAGGAATCGAATGTGCAGGTGATGGAAGTTCCCTTCGGAAACCTTCATTTGGTGAAATCGGGGGAGAGGCATGTCCACCTGGCAGACCGGCTAAGGACGGCAGCCGGGGGAGACTTGCAGGAGGCGATCGTGGAAAGGAGGGTGCATGGCGAGCCGGGCCGATGTCTTTGTCTGGACTCATGGCCGATTCTGTTAAACGTTTGAAGTCACCGAGTTGTGCTCGTATGGATGGCAGTGGGCCATGGCCACCGCCATCCGACTTGGGCGAGTCCAACAGAGGAGGTAGCCCTCCAGGGGCAGACTGAGAGGGGCTAACCGGCGACGCGATGTCGGGCTTGTGCAGTGAAGGCCCCGCGTGTTGAGAGGGAAGTTTGTCCCCAATTGAGTACACAATTGCGGGAGCAGCGAGACCCGGGCGCTCGTCACGAATGGGCAGTTCTCGGCTGCTTATCCCCACGAGCGTCGTCTCATGTTGACCTCCAGTCCCATCTGTCGAATGCAAAGGCTCGTGCTTCGCTGTCACAGCAGCAGCGACAGCAGCAGTCGCGGGAGTCGGCGTCGTAAAGGCCGCTAGAGCACCGGCAGCCAGGGATTTCAGATCAAAAGAATCAGGGGGTGGTGGGCGGTTCATGTCGCGTCCAGGGGACTCAGGTGAAGACGAATCGTCTTCGGAGCCGTTATCAGATGCCAGTGGCTCCAGGGCAGCAGCGTGAGCTATTTCTGGCTGTCTGCCGTTTCCAAGATGAGCAACTAGCACGGCATCGCCCTGAATGGGTTCGACCTTGCGGCGACCGTGAGGTGGTTTTCGATCGGAGCTGAAAGTGGGCGGAGGGCTGGGAGAGGGCAACAGTTTGGGACGATGAGGCTGCATCTGGGGACTATCGCGGGGGAGAACGTCATCGGGGTCGTAACAATCGGTCGCAGATGGTTGGCGGAAGGAATTTTGAGTAGCCGACGCAGTCATAGTTGTCGCGACTGAAAAGGGATGTGGCTCGCGGCGCAGACGGTGTTAAGCCGCCATGAGGGAGAAACGGGTCGAATGCGAGCGGCGGCGGCAGCGCAGAAGTAGCAGCGCAGCACCAGTGGGAGCGACAATGATGAAGCCAAATACGCACGGTCTGTTGCGCCGATGGAAGAGATTTTGCACACAAGGCTTAACGCCTTGTTGCCGTCGTCGTCGTCGTCGTCGTTCTCGTTGACAGGTTGGTCTAGTTGATCTGTTTCCAAGGCGGCGGTTGCTGGAATTCGAAGGGAGCAGCGAAGGACGCTGTTATCGAGGCTGCGAATGACGATGCTGGCCTGACCGTCGTTGGGGGCTTGAAGTCGTATGGGTATGCGTCGCGGATTCGGCCACGAAGACAGCTGTCGCCGCCGTCGTAGGCTACGGGAAGTTTGCAGCCGTAGATGCCGTCCAGCTTCTTCTTGTGGGCTAGAAAAGCAGTGTATGAGGGAAGGTGAGTGAGTATGGAGGTGTGCCGGGAGTTAGAGGATGCGGCAGCGGTTGTATGTCAAAAACGGAGGTCGGTGTGGCCTGGTAGCAGGGGGGGTGGGGGAGATAGTGATCAGGAGTGAGCGCGCCGGGGTTCAGTCGGGGTAGATGGGCAAGAGCGTCGTTTTTTTGGCGGATAAAAGAGGGCGCCCAGGAATGTGTGGACGGTAACCATGCAGATGGAGTGTGGCGGACGAGGGTGGTCGGAGGTGACGAAAGTGAGGTGGAAGAAAGCGGGCAGCGTGGTGGTCAAATTGAGAAGACGTCTGTAAGGCCCGGTAGATAGCAGTATTGTTTAGTGAGAAGCGTTGACGGTAGAACAGCGAAAAAGGACGGCGATGCTTCCGCAAGTAGGCAAGGCCGGTCCTTAGAACGATGGTGCGAGAAGGTTGGCAGGTGGGCAGCCCAGTCAGGTAGGTAGGGAGGCGCCTTTGGCCTTTGACCTTAGGACCTCAGGTCAGGCTGGTCAGGCCAGGTGGGTGAGTCGAATCGCCGGATCTCGAGGTCGATGTCAATGTCGAAGTCGCGGTCCGAGGTGTAACTGCGGTGGTTGTCTGTCGTTCTCTGGGCGCGAGTTTCGGGGCAGCGCTACGGCAGACCAGCCAGACGAGTGTTAAAAAGGAGGAAGCGTAGAGCCGGGTCGGTTATTCGCAGGTGTGTGTGTGTCTTTTCTTGTTTTGTCTGACGATGGTCCGATGGGTGTGTCTTTGAGAGGCAGCACTGGTTTGCTTTAGCGCATAATCTCTTGGGAGTGTATGGGAGATACGCCCAGTGCCACAGATAGATTCGAGGGACCGCGTGACCCCAGTGATGGGGAAGAAGGGAACGTGGAGTCCACCAGACGAAGACACACGAGATGCCGTGTTCTCAAGTGAGCAGGGGTGCGGGAAAATCAGACATGGGGATTGGGGGAAACCAGGCGGCGTAGACGTGGGAGCGAGAGTGGGAGTACCTATGCGTAGAAGGGACATGGACGACGTGTGGAGTTGGGAGGTACGGATACAAACATGAGATGGGGAAAGGAAGGGTCTGCTGCTAAGAACCTGGGGCCGCACGAAGCAGAAGGTGCCTTGCGAAGCTGCGCTGTCAGATGAGGCTAAAGCCATGTGCCGCAATGTATCGGTGAAGAGAGTCGCAGCAGGCATTGGGGGCAAAGCTACCTGCAGATACCCGTGGACCTTCCATGCCTCGCAATCCTTCCTCTGCCTTACGTTAAGGTACCTTGCCTTGCCTCACCAGCCGCCCGCCCTGCCTCGCTGCTTTGGTCCTCCACCCCTCTAAATCCAGTGGAAAAGGAAAGCCCGGCTTATTGAACGGATACATGGCAGGTCGTTCTGTCCGTCATCTGGCTCCTTGTGCAATGGTACCAATCACAACTTTCAGCCAGGAGCAAGCGGCACTACCTTGAGAGAGTGCTAGATAGGTGGCTGGCGCAATGGTAGGGTGCCCAAGAAGGAGCAAGCGTCGCACACCCCTACGCCTGCGCAATTGGCTGGATCCTTGGGTCCCTGATTGAAATATGCTCATGCCCATATTCATGCTCGTCTTGGAGCGGGGAAGGCAAGATGGGATGGAACCGTGGGGCTTGGTTACTTGGTAAGTAGCTGCCATGCTGTCGCAGTGCGCGGCATCCTGCCATGTGGAATGGAATACAATAGAACGAGAATTGGGAGCGAGGGCGCAGTGAGGGGAAGTCGCCTGCGCGGAATATGGGATACTTCGTTTTTGAAGTGAAGAAGTAATTAACGGTGGTGCTGCTAGAGCTGGAGCTGGAGCTGGAGCTGGCGTCGGTGTCAAATAGCCGCACCCAAAGCACTGGATGGAAAACGGGATGGAAGTGGAGGCTGAAGACAGGGATTTGCCGAGGTACTCGTAGGTACTGCCTCTAGGCCAAGCCTGGCGTTGACATACCTAAGGTAAGGTAGGTGAGTACCAATCACGACGGACTTGCCCATAATCATAACATTTACTGCATAGTAGGCCATTGGCGCAAACTCTGTTTGATGCCTTGTCTGCCAAGCTGCAGTGTAGGTGCCGATACTGTAGCCACCTTATATGTGCACCGTTCCCTGGCTGCCCAGATTGGCGATAGTTACTTACCACAGTCCCTCGACTGGCTGACGGGCACCATGAAAGTTGTGAAGTGCCCTAAAGTCAAGTAGCTTCGGCACAGCACGAAAATATACCTGATCTACCTTACATGCACCACAAGGACAGTATCCGTGGGAGCCATCACCACCGCCCTCTCCATCTCTTTTCCTGTCTCTCTTTCTCCCCCTCCTTCCCTCCCCCATTTCCCCACCCGTCCCTCTCTCCAACAGTGAAGGGCCAAGGTCCAAGGGCCAATGCAGGGTAGGAGCAGAAGATTTCTTTTGTTCTGTGATTGGCCGCTTTTGCCGCGTCCGTCCAATTGCGATGCTGACAGCCCGGAAGATCCACCGCAGGCCCGCCGGTGCCCGCGATGAGCCCATGCACTCGAGCCGCTAAGCCTCTAAGCCTCAATCCATTAGGCGGATCATCCAAGGGGGAGCCTGTCTATCGTCGTTTGATTGGACAGCACCAAAAAAGCCAAGAAACAGACCCCGGTCGTCTCTCCGAGGCTGGGGTTGGCCTTCTGCGAGCTGGACGAGTCACGGTGTTGACGTGCCGCGACGGATCGCTTGAGGTGAGAGGTGAGGTCTTTTCGAGTACTCCGCAGTGCCAAGTTCCAGAGCACACAGAAAATAAGATAATATACCTAGGTACGGATGGAGCACGCGCTCTGCTCTGGGCACAGTTGCACACAGACCAAGGGCTCTGCGTTTTTGTTCCGTCTCCAGGTTGAGGAGCGGTTAGATCCCAATGTTACTATAATTCAGCGCAGGTAGGGAGGGTGCTCACTCACTGCTGGACTGACTAGGCCAGGCCAAACTCGATGCCAAATTTCGGCATCACCCCGCGGTTTTTTTTTTTTTCTTTTTCCTGATTAGAGTGCAATCCCTCGTTCGGTTTAAAGGGGGAGGAAGGGGGGAAGCCTCATCCAGGTACTGGGAGCCCTCTCGCAACTAATGAACCACCTTGCTAGACAGGAGCTGGCACAGGAGGAGACCACTGCCGGCTTTGCGCCTCACCGCCAAGTCCGTTGAACTGGGCTGGCTCAGGCACGCGGTCTCAGTCTCGGTCGTGCCCA